TCCTAACTGTTTAAAGGTTTGATCGTTCAATTTGTGGACCTCTCGTTCATGGAACGAATCGAGAGGGGATTTTGGCTTTGGTCCTAACTGTTTAAAGGTTTGACCAAGATGGGAATTTAAGACGATCCTAACTGTTTAAAGGTTTGATCGTTCAATTTGTGGACCTCTCGTTCATGGAACGAATCGAGAGGGGATTTTGGCTTTGGTCCTAACTGTTTAAAGGTTTGACCAAAATGGGAATTTTGTGAGGGAAGATTGATCTAAAGAGGTGATCGAATCTCATCTCAGCAAAAGAGTATTCGGAAGTCATAGTAGGAGTTTAGTGTTTATCACTTTGTTCATAATGATCGGGGTTATCCCTAAGAATATTACATTTAACATTCTTCTGGGAACTTCCCGTTACATAAATTATCCACCCCCAGCTTTCTTTGCAAAACTGGGTGTAACGAGAAGTACGTTATCCTCAGTCGCATGTTCGGGTTATCCTTAAGAATATAAGATTCTCCAGGAACTTCCCGTTATATAAATCCTCCACCCCTAGTTTCCTTTGTGAAACCGGGTTTAACATTGCACTCAGTTGGATAATCGAGAAGAAGTTTATACTCATATGCTCTTTGGAGTGTGGGGAAACAGTTTATACTCGTGCACCCACTGTAGGCATATAAAATTGCTTATAGGTCCCCTAGCATAGCTCGGCACAAACCGACGAACCAACGTCAACGAGGGACGACGAGATCGACGAAATCGCACGGGAAGCGACCGGTGAAATGTATTGCATAACGTATCGTTCGGAAAATCAAGCCCAAAGTGTTAAGGGATAATACAAACGAGTCATTAACCAACCCGAGAACAGACTACGGACGAATCAGATCGGAATCAAGATCTTTTCAGACTCGGAACTGCAGAAGTGGAGTTTACTTAATGCCAAAATCAGGAATCCGACTTTACTGAGCAATCGATCAAGTCCAATCAGAGTGCTCATATCAACCGGAACACGGAAGCAAAACCAGGAAAACGGAACACAACCGAAAAAATCGGAAAAACATCGCCCCGCTTTAGGGGGGCTCGGCACAAAGCCTCGACCAACCTCTCAAGGTGGCTCCTCCATGAGTCGAGCACAATCTAAGGGGTCGATTCGCCGGAGTTCAAGGCCACCCTAGAAAGAAGGTGCCGACCAGTGGCCCGACGAGAGTGCCGATCGTTATCTCACTGTTTGCTGGGGCACATGGTCCTGAGAGCCTATAAATAGGCCTACGAGATGTTTCATTTTCAGGGTCGAACTTTCAAGAGCCGAAACTACTGCCGGATTGAAGAGCAAAGCATAGAGTTTTTGAAGACTTGATAGACTTGGACGTACAGATCTGATCACTCAGCGACCTATGACCACGTCAGAAAAGGCAGGATCTCGAGAGGAAGAAAGATACAGATCTGAGATCTACACGAGGTCATACTCACAGATCTAAGCTTTGTCTTAAGATCTCGAGATCGAGCGATTATTCCATGGTGGAGTTAAGCAGGCCTCCCAGGCACTATATATTCCACTTCGTAAGAGAATAATACCCGCATAATTCGGTGTAGATCCGAACCACGGATCTAAGATCGCCGCGGATGGTCCACATGGCAGAGCAACCCGGCGCAGGGCAAAGAACCCAACATCAAAGCGAGCAGGACCTAGGCAAAACAGGAGCTCGCGATTATGTTCACAAGAGAAGTTGTAAATTTTTACTTTTTTTTCTTCTTTCTTTGATTTAGTTAGTAACCGGATCGTGATAAAACAGGGACCGATCTTTGTAATCCAAGCTGACAATTTATCTCATTAATTGAAGAAAGCAACTATTTTCCAACAGCGGAGAAATCTGCGCGACGGCAGTCTAGGTGGAGCCAGACCGATCTTCGGCTGTCGAGATTCGGAGGCGTCGCAGCCGCGGATCCGAGATCCCGTCGTGGGAGGAGGTCGAGTACGAGTTCGAACAAGCTAAAGTTCGAGGAAGTACGTGTCTCTGTCGGTAATCTACGCGCCCACGCCGCAAGTCCAAGGAAGTTCTCACCTCTGAACGGAAAAAAAGCTCGGTTGGTTCTAAGCTGCTCGGGCTTATAGCCCACGAGGCCTCTCAACCCAACTGACGCCCGTATAGTTGCGTCAAATGAATTCCACCTCGACGCATGCCAACGAGGTCAACTCACTGCTAGCCCGCCAACAGCCTCCACTATTCAGGGCGTTGTGACTCTCTCGAAGAGAGCCGCTACAGAGGCGTCGTTCAACGCCTTGGCGCGGCAACTCGCTAAGGTGATGGAGTCTATGGACGACTCCGCTACACATAGCAACGCGGAGTTGAGAACAGAAGAAGCAAACAGCCTCAAACCAGCCAAATGAACGCGGCCGACTCTTCCAAAGCCGCCAAAGAAAGAATGGTCGCGTCAAACGACAACCGTTCGACCCCTGCCGAGGAACGCATTCGCAAGCGCCGCGCGAGTGTCTAGCAGCAGGCACTGGCTCAAGCCTCAGGATAGCCCATAGAAAAGGCTGCAAAGGAGGTGGAGAAGTAGAGAACAACAAACACCAACACGCCAAGTCTGGCAAGCCTAAGTATGAAGTGGACGCATCAGCCATATGAAACCAAAAGACCACCAGTGCAGACTTCTAGAGGAAGGTCAAACTACCGGGCGAGTACAAGCCAATACGTCCGGGCGTTAATCAGACCAAATAACTTGCTGCCTATCATGCAGAGTCTCACCCAAGAAGAAAATCAATTTTGAGCGCCTGCGTCCAGTTCCTGACGTGAGAGGCAAAGCTCCAATTCAATAAGCGTTTTTTGGGCGCCGATAAAGGAAGCCCGGAACGACTCAATACTACTGAGGGTCGCCATCACCTCCAGCATGACAAAGAAGCTCAAGGTAGCTGCCAGCACCAATTTGCGCATTGAAGTCCAAGAGCACGCCGAAAATTCACAGCCCAAACAGGCATGTTTTTGAGCGGAGTACACACTTTGAAAAGGCCAAAGAAGCAAGTACACTCACAAATGGAAACATTATGATCTGATAGGATAGTGTTATACTGAGAAGGCATCGCCCCGCACAACGATAAGGTTATCCGACTGTCAAATGACGAGGTTGTACTATCGTGCTGGGGGACGAATAGAACGCAGAAGAGAGTCCCCGCAGAGAACAGGAAATTCAATGTCCCTGTTCCAAAACGTCATTCGGGGAGCGGTATTGGTCTGAAATGCATGCATTAAGGCGGTCCCGAAAGAGTTTCAGTTTTGAAAGACTGCAGTGCGGAGGAAGCAAACAAGGCCTAGGCGATTCCAACAAAGAAGATAGGGATTGAAGACGGTAGAATTCCGAGGGTGTCACCGGAGAAATATGACCAGCAAAGGAAGCATCGCGAGCAGGATGATTTTCGAGTCAATTACTGAAAGCCTCTAGCGGCCTAGACTCCGTCTGGCAGTCGAACGTCCATGCGAGCGAGGCAACCCTATTGCGTAGATTTCGGATAATACGCCCTTCAGAAGATGAAGATCTGATGTCGGCTCACGGGACGGTGGCATCAGATAATACACAGTATCCAGCGAGGGACAACCCAGGCGAGGCACTTATGATAAGTGCGGAGCAGATGGCAAGACGGCTTGAAGACAGCTTTGGCTAAGCAGAAAGAAGTTTCAAGTTTGAGAATGGAGATGGCCATTGCAGCAGATGAGAGAATGGCATGACGGCAACAAACTCCGAAGCATTGGCGAAGCCAACAAGGCGAGCAATCATTCGTAACCCATACGCCCCAAGACTCCCGTGTTAATCTGAAGACAGCAGACACAAATGCTCGTAATACCAATGATCTCGCCGTACAACGCAAGGGGGTAGTTAATCGAGATGCTGGCGAAAACAAAATATGATAATAGGGAAACCTGAAGATCAAGACACGCGAGTCGAGAGACAAAAAATCACACATTGATCCTCCGCTCAGAAGACGAAAGAAAGCACAGGCATTCCT